AGCCGATATAGTAAAGCTGACAGTTTCACATTAATATTACAATATAAAATACTCTAAAACGAATACTTCCTAAAATTAGCCATAAAATTGTGGAAGCATCCCTAGGATCCAACAAGCAGAGAAAGTTAGAAGTACAATATAAAATATGATTCTATCAGTGTATTTTAAAGATTTTATTTCTATAGGCATAGAAATTCTCAAAATATGCATATCCATCCCCATAAAAAACAATCCTGTTGATAATGACTTTTAAAGAGGATCAAGGAGTTGACAGTCATTATTCAGGCCTTTCTAACTCTAGGGACCATTCTGCCACTAAAAGGCATTAGTTTTTAAACAAAATTAGATAAAATTCAGAAACACCTAACCTGAAACAGGATTACTTCTTTTAATGCAGCTGAATTAAAAATAGCCTGGGACAATTATGGAAGGCTCTAAGTGCATCACGAAGCATCCCTGGAAGAAATGAAAGCCTGTGGGCTTCATGAGATATTTCTTTTTAAAATATATTTTATTATTTTTATTTTATGAGTGTATTGCCTGCATGTATGTGAGTGCACCCGTGTTGTGCAATGCCGTGGAGGTCAGAAGAGGCATCAGATTCCCCTGGAACTGGAATTAAGGATGGTTCGTAACTGCCATGTGGGTGCTGGGAATCAAACCCTGGTATTCTGCAAGAGCAGCCAGTGCTCTTAACCACTGAGCCATCTCTCTAGCTCCGGAAGGAAGTTGTTTTTTTTTTTTAATTTGAACCCGGGTCCCCTGCAAGAGCAGTCAGTGCTCTTACCCTCTGAGCCATCTCTCCAGCCCCTTCATGAGATATTTCAACAGCATGCTAGTATAACATCTGTGGCAGGTGGTAAGCATGGGCATGGTGTCCAAAGTGAAGAGTCTCACCTAGGCAAATGACATTTTTCTTTTCCCAGATAACGTAAAAAGCATTGAATTGATCATTTTGTTAGAATATACATCTAATCAGAGGCACTTCATATTTCTGTTTTAAAAGATGGTAGCACTTTCTTTCAAGGCTGAGTATATTCACTTGAACATAGCCTATTAACTGGAATTGGGTATAGAACAGTAACATCATCAAGGCCGTTTCATACTTTGGATGAATTATTTCACTCACATAGAGAAAACCACCTCTAAGTGTATAAGAAAAAAAAGATTTAAGTATGTAAAACTCAAAGACGAACAGGACAGTAAACTATTAAGGCTTTGTTTTTTAAAAGTTCAAATAAGATCAAGAACAAAGTTAAGTTACTGACAAAACTCAAGGGGCAAAACTTCTAGTACTTCATATTTTTTCAACCATTCTGTTTTGATACTGATTTTTATAAAGTCCACATTGAAATTTTTACAAGTTTTTAATTATGAAAAATAACACCATGCTCCAAAGGCCTATACAGATATATTAAGAGTAGTTATACACTGAGTATTAGAATACTGGATTATATGACAGTAACTACTGAACCTTCACATACTAATAGTTTAGAACTAAGAGTTATTTTCTGCTCATACTATAAGGATAGGTCAGTAAGAAGATTATGCTTCTCCATGTCACTCATGACCCAGATGAATGGAATAACAGTGGACATTATTACTTTCCATTGTTGGAAAAAAAAACAATACCATCTCCTTCAAACTTCTCCCCAAAGCTAGTCTGATGACCATCTACCCATGAGAGAATGCTAGTAGTATCTGCGAAGAGCTGTATTCACTACTATAGCTGGTAAATTATAGGAAAACACCTTTAACTACTGCTGCATTGACTATTTTTGTTTGCCAACTCTACAAAAAATATGTATTAGCTTCACATTTTCAAACAGAAAATTTTAAGTATGGTTAGAGATTATATTTCACACCACAGGTGTTTTAGCCCATTTTTCCATTGCTGTGACAAAACATTCTGACCACTACCAACCTAGGGAGGAAAGGGTTTATTCAGCTTACATCTCTTGGGTCACAGCCCAAGGTAGGAATTTCAGGGCAGGAACCTGGAGGCAGGAGCTGGAGCACAGGCCATGGAGTATTACTGCTTACTAACTTGTTCAGCCTGCTTTCTTATGCAACACAGGCCCACCTGCCCAGGGGTGGCACCAACCACAGTGGGCTGGGCCCTCCCACATCACACAACAATCAAGAAGATGTCCCACAGACATGGCCACAGGCCAATCTAATGAAGGAAATTCCCCAATTGAGGCTCCCTCAACCCAGGTGTGTCAAGTTGACACTAAAGCTATACAGCACAATGGGGCAAAGGTTGAAGAACTGCTACTAATGGAACAAAGGTTGACTATGGTGACCTTAACCCCAAGTTAAATTTTAAGAGCCTGTAATACATTTTTATTCAAAAAGCTATACTTGCGAGCTAAGGAAACAAAAGTAACAAGATTTTACAAAGTGGTTTTTAGTTTTCTTTCTATGAAGTCAAACAGATTATTCTAGTAAGCAACAATGGCAACAATCCATTTCTCCAATGGTCTTAGAAAACAAGTCTTATCTTTAAATTTCTGAGTGAATATGTGATTCTAGCAATAAGTATTAATGTTATAGAAAAGGAAAGAAAAGTGTGGGTCACACAGTAGTGTAATTCAGTGGACTGTGATTCAGCTGGCCTCAAACCTGCATTTCTCCTGCTGTGGGCTCCTAAGCACAAGGACTACATACATGTACCACCACACTTGGCTCAGGAGGTAATTTTTTGCTTTTGAAATTTTTCTTAAGAATTTTAAACAGTTTTAAAAAAACCTGGCAGTGTGGTTCAGTGTAGTATTTGACTAGCATGTAGAATACCAGCATAGCAAAAAAGTCAACCAACACAGAGAGAGAGAGAGAGAGAGAGAGAGAGAGAGAGAGAGAGAGAGAGAGAGAGAGAGAGAGAGAGAGAAAGGGGGACAGACAGGGGACAGACAGGGAGAAGGGATAGAGACCTTTTGGTGAATGCTCATAAAGCCAACCTTTACGTTCCCTGCAGAGTATTTTTCTACATTTTCTTCATTACATATCTATCCAACCAATTTTATTTCTAATTCATTTCAAAGTTGTAGACAGTACTATATTTTACTTACAACTATCTCAGACCACAGTACATTTTTATTTATATTCTATGTTTTTAAAGTTGAGAAATGTGGTGAAATGCACAAGTGCATATTAGGATAAATTCTGACCTAAGTATCCACACTTGTAACCTAAATGCCTATTCAGACAGACAATTTTCCATTCATGTGAATAAAATTATGGTAACTCAAGAGCAGAAAGGACTAGGAAGATGCTGGTCAAGAAAGTATCAGATTTTAGTAAAGAAAAATAACTTCAAGAAATCTACAGTACTTCATAGTGACTACAGTTAGTAACATATTGCATACAGTCATACACAGTTAATAAATGTTTGCTTTCTCCTTCTACCTGCTTCCAAATGGATAAATTAGTGCTTTCATTCTTTTGTGTGCCTTTCCAAAAACTACATTCTGGATCCTTTGACTTTTTTTCTTTATCCCCTATACCCACACTTTTTCACAACTGTGAATTCAACTCTTCTAGAACTATGGTTCTCAGTTTTCTCTGTATCTTCCTGTAAATGCCTTGGCCCATATGTGTAAGATGTGCTAATTACCTCTGATAAGAATTCCAATGACTACCATATCAAACTTATCCTTTAACTCACTACAAGAATGGTAGGCAAAAGATTGGTAGCATAAAAAACTATGAAGGCAGAGCTGATGGGATGGATGATTAAAAAAAAATTCATGGTTTTAAGGTTGCCAGATAAAATGATTTTTAAAAAAGTAGAGTTTTCATAGATCATGTCCAAAGTGTTCTCCCCTTCTTTTTTTCTCATTCCTCAGACAAGAAAGTCTAATTCTGTTTTTAACCTATAAAGCCCCAAATGCTTTCCTAATTTTGAAAGCCCTTACGTTTCCATGCTCTCCTTCATCTAGCATCTACTTATACACAACCTTGTGACCTTCTATTCTTACGAAGGCAACAGATTCTTTATGCTTAATAATCATCTCATATCTTTAATATACTTTATGACGGTCAAAATATTGGTCAAAACTCAGACTGTCATAAAGATGTTGAGCCTTTTTTCCTGACATGAGTTCAAGGCCAGCCAGCCTGGTCTACACAGTGAGCTCTAGGACATCTGGGGCTACAGGGAGACCCCATCTCAAAAAGACTTTTTTTAAAAAAAAGAGAGAATAAACGTTTTTCAAATTAAAACATTAGGGATTCTTCTCCAAATAGGGAAAATATATGACAAATAGCAATAAGTTTCCTATTTCTCTAGTTTCAGCCCTGGCTTTATACCCATGGGAAAAAAAAAACAAACAACTTTCAACATAAACTTTGTTAGCAATGTTGCTGATACTTTCTGTAAATTACTTTTCAAGAGCTGTGCCAACTTTCCTTATAAAAAAAAAAAAATGCCAGGCATGGTAGGGTTTGCCTTTAATTCCAGCACTTGGGGGGGCAGAGACAGGCAGATCTCTATGAGATCAAGGTCAACCTACACAACAAGGTACAGGGCAGCTGGGCTATAGGTAGACCTGTCTCAAAACAAACAAACAAACAAACAAAAAACCCCACATTTTTAAATATGGTTCCTAGTCATTATCTTCATTTTATCAGAAAGTAATTCTTAAAATCATAGCATAAGTCTCTAAAATCATGTAATGTAGCCTAAAATCACCTAAACATTAAATTTTTTTTTTTGGTCTTTTTGAGACAGGGTCTCCCTGTAGCCCCAGCCGTCCTTGAACTCAGAGATCTACCTGCCTCTGCCTCCCGAGTGCTGGGATCAAAGGCGTGCGCCACCACTCCCAGCCCAAACATTAAATATTTTTTAAACTTCTAAATCCAGATGACAAAACAATGATAACACAGCTAACTTTTAAAACAATAGATTTCTGTTTTGTTTGGTATATTTCATACTCAGGATAATTTAATGACATTCTATTTTCAAAACAGAAGAACTGGTTGTGATTTGCTAATTTTACCTGAGTAGCTTTATCTTTCATGCATGAAGGGTAGTGCACATGAGGATCCCGTGGCCACTGTCCTGTGAGGTAAGGTCCTGTTATCGTATCCAAAGAAGAGGTTCGCCTTATCGTGCTAGAGGTTCGAACTTGCTGAGATTTTGGCCTGTCCACTATAAAAGTAAAAAAAGATAAATGTTAGAGTGAATTTTTAAATTATTTAAACTTCAGAGCTTATAAATGTCATTTAATCAATCTTCCTGTAACATATATCCCTAATAGTCTTCTTGTATGATCTGATGAAATTCATGGACTATTTCCCAAGGAAAATACATTCATCTAAGAAGCACACCTTCAGGGCATTCACACACCCTCTGAAGTCCAGTCATTTTAAGTCCTGTAATAAAATCTATACATCATCTCTACTTCTATGACTAATTAAGACTCCATCATGTCTCATGAACTGCTAGTTTTATAACTGTCATCTCTATATCCATTTCAACTAAATCTTACCAGTGCTAAAACAAATTCCACGGTTATTGTTTTTCACAATTTAGCTCCCATTTATCACAATGTTTGTTATCATGCTATTCCTCCACAAGCCCATCCTGAGAGTCATATAAATGACTTGTTTTTTCCAAAAGTAAGAAGAGCTATCTCTGCCTCTATACCTTCTATTTCCTCAGCCTACAACTCTCTCCTCCTAAGTTTATCTGAAAAACTTACTGATCTGCAAGACTAGCTCAGATGTCAGACTGCTGCTGTGAAAACTTCCAAATCTTTTATCTCTTTCCTCCTGTTTAAGAAATTCTCACTCCCCTCTGCTTGTCTCTTTTATCAGAATGAAATTTCAGCAACTACAGACTGAAAGGAAGTTGATGTTTAATACTTACTAAATGTATTCATGACCACACAAAGAACTTTGTATTTTAATTCAATTTCCTTATTTATAGCTAAAGTATTCAAGCATTAGAGGGATTTAATTGTCTAATGAAATAGAGCAAGGGGACAGAGAGAAAAAGGAACTAAGATCTCTGGGCATGCTATAGAGCTCTATCAATCTGCTCTAGCAATCTAATTCTCTTCTCCAAATGGGCACCATAATTATCTCTGTTGAAAATTAGTATTATCACAATAGAAAAACTAGCATATAAAGAAACTAAAGGACTTTCCCTATATCCACCCACTATTTATGTGTATCTATAATAAAGTCCAATGGATTCCAACTTTTCAAGGCTCACAGCCTAAAATTTAGTCTTGTTTTGTTTTGTTTTTATCTGCCTCTTCATTTGCAGGAGGAGTTGAAACAAAATTTTAAGGATTTTTTTTTCTTTTTTCCTTAAACATGAATCATTCAAGTAAAACCAACATTAACTATAGAAATTAGCAAATTAAAGAGTTTTGTTTTACATCAAAGTGTCTCATGTACTATTAAAGGTTGGGAAATACTTATTACTGTCCTTTTAACTATCTTTCTAAAACTGGAACATATTAATTTATCATAAAAACAGAAAAAAAATGCTATATATATGCTGATGCTATATTAGCTAGACATCATCTTAGAAATTCAGCTTTGATTTCTTTGACCCAATAATTATTACAGAACATCTGAAAATTACTAAACTCCTTCCTTATTTTTATTACTTTATCAAAGTTTACTATACACTAAAGGTAGAAAATCTAGTGGTGCCCTACTTCTACTGTTGGAATCCCCTGAAATTTTCTTTGTGACAAAAATCATGACCAATTTTCATGAGTAATGAAGATACATTTTGACTTTAGAATATCAGTTGCATATTTGTCTTATTTATCAACTGAATTAAATTCAGAATATAGAATTACTAGCCTGATCTGTGACTTGGAAAAGTACTTTAATATGTCTAGACCACTGAGCTCTAAAACTTTCTTTTTTGAAAAATTTTCACTTTATATTTTAGTTCTTTATAATTTGGTACATGTTAATTCATGACATTATCATTTTGGCTTATATGCACTGTAATTATAACCTGTCTCATATATTGCTTTCACTTTTAAATATTATCAAGCTGGACACTATGATTTCCTTAAGCTTTACTGTGGTTATTCGTCTCATATGCTTATTATCTCACTTTCTTTCAATCTTTTTTTGAGACAGGGTCTCCCTGTAGCCCCACCTGGCTTGCAACTCACTAAGTAGATCACGCTGGCCTGGACCTCACATCTCATGATCTCACAGATTCACCTGCCTCTGTATCCCCAGTGCTGAGATTAAAGGTGTGTGCCACCATATCTAACTTTAAAACTCCTTTTAAGCTGCAAATGCAGCTGACTTGAGCAGTACAAGACCCTGGGTTCAATACATACTGCCACAAATAAACACAAAATAGGGACTCCTCTTAATGTAATGGTTAAGGTAAATAAATGTGTGTAATTTTTAAAATTGTGTGTTTGCGTACATGTATGTAGAAGCCAGAGGTCAATACTGAGTACCCTCCTCAATTGCTCTCCACCTTATTTTTTGACACATGATATTTCACTGAACCTAGATCGTGATGATTTAGTTACATTGGCTAGTCAGCAAGCTTCAGAGATTCTCATGTCTCTGCCTCCTAGCATTGGAATTACAGGTACAAGCTGTCATGCCTGGCTTTTCTGTGGGTTCTTGAGGACTATAGATGCAGGTCCTCATGCTTGTACAGCAAATACTTTACAGACTGAGCTATCACCCTAGCCAAATCAAGATTTTTTTTCTTTTATGTTTCATGGTGAATTAAATACTTGAATGATCTATAAATGAGCCCCTTGTTCTGTATATTATTCTAATCTATGTCTAATCTATGTTCACTACTTTTTCTCCTATTAAAATCTTATTTTATGCTGAGACAAGGTCTTGCTATGTAGACCAGGCTGGTCTTGAATTTGTATCTGCCTTCCTCTACCCCAAGTGCTGGGATTAAAGGCATGTTCCACCATGACTAATTTCTTTCTTGCTATTGAATGTTAACTCATGAGACCCTTTATCACTTCAAATATAGCATATAGCCTCTTTTTAGTGTTTGTGCTCTATGATTAGCTAGCTACTTTGTTTCAACTAGCAACGGTTTTTATGAATATGGTCTTCAAGTTATTTTAAGTAGCTATTCTATTGGTGAATATGAAGGCTTACAACACCACATGTTATTTAGAAACTAGTTAGATATGATATCACTAATATATTGTGGATATATGAACAAAATAGAAAAATTTATGTATTAAATAAAATAGAGAAACTATTTGCTACATACACCTCAATGGTCCCTGCTTACTTGTGAAGTAATGTTAAGAGCACTAGAAAAAGGTAGCTGAAATTGAGGGCTAAATTCGATCTGTAAACTCAAATCCAATTAGTTTTATCTACTGTCTTTGTCCCTACCACCTCTTATTTTTTTCCTTGAGATAAGATCTTCTGGGAGCCCCAGCTGACCTGGAATTGAATATATAAAACAGGCTCACCTGAATCTCACAGAAATCTGTCTTTGTCTCCCTGGGATTAAAAGTGTGCACCACCACACCCAGCCCTAATTCCAGTTCTTAATTGTATATAAGTGTGTAGACAAGCTCCACACATCATTACTAATAGAAAAAATCTTACTCAAGAAGTGTAACTTAGGATGGCAGTGTTCACTGAAGTCATTATACCAGTCATCATCATAAAAAATTAAAATATATGAAATAAATATGATCACATGTTAAATAATGTTTTAGTCAATGATCAAAATATTTATGATGCTGATCCCTTAGGATAACAAGGCTGAAAATTCCTAATCACGTAGTGATTTCTAGTTATCATAATGTAGTAGTGCAATGCACTACTTATGTGTATAGTGATGTTTGGTTTAAGTAAATGCACCATACTACCAGTCATAAAATGTAAAGCACAATTATGTATAGAATATATAATTGATAATGAAAACAAACTATGTTATCCTATCATTAGAGAATACTCCTCTACTTTAAAAAAACAGTTTATGGGGATGAAAAGAGAGCTCAGTGGTTAAGAACACTAATACACATAAAATGAAAATAAGAAATAAAAGAAGTTTGCTATAAAACAATTTGCTGGCATATGCTGGCAGCAGCCTCATACAGGTTGGATTTACTTTGTCTCTTGATGCAATGAGAGACTATGCTATGATAAATGATTGACCTGTATCAGCTAGTTTTGTCAAGTATACTCTATGTTTGTACAGGACAAAATTGTCTAATCATCTAATGACGCATTTCTTAGAACATGTCCTTGGCATAACATGACTGTACCTGAAAGGCTATATTTCAAACATACTTTAAAATAAAGATTCTCAATATTCCTTCTGATAAAAAAATTTAAAGACATGGAATAGTTCAAAATATCTGTAGAAATTATTAAAGGATTGAATTTCTTAATTAGCTTAAAAGTTGACACTGATAATGTTCTTCCATGAAATGATTAACTCAAACAACTCCACTTACCAATACAACTAATACCTCAGATTTATCAAACCATTTTTCATAAATAGTACAATTTCAACTGCTCTTTTTACCTAAACTAAATGTCCATGAGTTAGGTTTTGACTGTTCAAGATTCTCTCAGTTTTTAAAAATTTATTTGTATATGCTTACTATCAATTCAAGTTTTACATTTTTGTGCAATAAATTCAACTTCTAGAGTAATACAATGGGATGTCCAATTAATTTGTCCCCAGTAATTTTTTTTACTTTAGTGGCAAATTTCTACACACTAATTTTTGCATTTGAAAATCTGCTATTTCAAGATGCTAATCTCCAGTAGAAAGAGGATGCTGTATTTCTGAATGCCATATATAATGTAAACCATACAATAAGCCAAGTACTCACATTCTTTTCTTGGATTATATTTAACACATTCCTATCTTGTTAGCCTATATTCAGTTCAGTCTACATGGGCAAATAAAAATTGTCAGTTCTCTATGTTTAGACCCCAATCAATTTAAGATTAGCTAAAGCTTTCCATTTACAGTGATGACACAAGCAAAACATAAACTTAGGGTACTTATATAACTATTTAAACTTTTAAGAGCTATCATTCCTTACAGTATAGTATAGATTGTCACTTCATGAAACAACTGTCATAACAACACCAACAAGAATCAACTACATCCTTAAATAACTATTTCAACTTTTAAGAGCTATCATTCCT